GGGTGCGGAGCCTGGGGGTGCTGAGCCGGGGGGTGCTGTGCCTGGAGGTGCTGTGTCTGGGGGTGCTGGGTCGGGAGCTACTGAGCCTGGGGGTGCTGAGCTGGGAGCTGCTGAGCCTGGGGGTGCTGCGTCTGGAGCTTGCCATACAGCTGACGATGTTTCTTGCTCCTTGTGCAGATTGTCCCGTTGAGGTCGTTTGAACTTGAGCGGTGGGGTTCGCTTGTGTCGAAGCGACTTGGCTGCTTGAGGGTCGAAGCTGTCGTTGTGGCGGTGATGACTGTCGTTGATTTGGGCAGTGTGTGCGCGGGTGTCCTGACGTCTTGCAGAGATGACAGAACGGAGGTACGGGCTTTGGTTGTTGTCGGCTGTTGTTGTTGTTGTAGCGTCGCTGAGTGTGAAACGCGAATTCGGGCACTGATGTTTTCTTCTTGTGCCGTTCCTCTTGCAGGTCCATGTCTTGCTGCTCGGCGTTAATTTCGGCGCAGAGTGCTGCTTCGGAGATCTTCCCGTGAGCTCGGAGAATAGCTCGAGTGGAGCGCCAAGGAGGACCAAGTCCAGTGATGACGACTATGACAAAGGCTTCTTCGGAGATTGATCCTCTGCATCGAAAGAGTTTGTCGCGTAGTTCGCGGCAGCGGCTGATATACGCCATTCCTTTTTTTGCCTAGTTTCATCTCGACTGTTGTCAGTTGCGCCATCAACCGACTCTGATTTACGCTGTCTGTTGCTTGATACATGCTCTTCAAGTGGCTGTATGCGAGTTCGGCGGAGTTGCCATATCCCCGGTAAGACCGTATATTCTGCTGCTGATTTGGAGTGATGTTCCTTAGTAGAATCATGTATGCCATCATTGACTGATACGTGTACTGCTATATGTCATACTGTGTGCCGTGTGTTGGGTATGGCAGGGATCCGTCGAAGAAGCCAAGAATCTGCGCGCCTTCCATCATCAATTCGAACTCGAATGACCAGATGAAGAAGTCCTTTTCGTCGAAGGGCCTTGACGTCTGCAGTTTTAAGACGTGCGCGAACTGCGACTGAACTTGACGTGCGTCCAGTGTCTTCTCTTGTCCAGGTGCAGGCTGTGGTTGTGGCATAAAACTGACGGAGCCGCGCTGGGGCTCGTACGGAGCAAAGGTAGGTTGCTGCTGTTGATTTCCACGTGCGTAGGATGAACCATCAAGGCTCATTGGAGTCACGTTGTTGTTGTTGTTGCTGTTGTTTGACTGCGCAGGTGCCAACTGTTGGTGTTGCTCGTGGAAGGACATGAAGGAGAAAAACTTCCCCATCATGTTCTGATCGAAGCCTGCAGATTGATTCGCAGGAGTCTCAGTAGAAGTTGCTCTTGGTCTTGTTGCCGTACCCTCCTCTGTCTGTAGGCCAGAGGCAGGAGGTGGAGTAGGAGTAGTATCCGAGGAGCCGTTAGAGGAGCTCCTTTCCTTTTTTGTTGCCATGCCTTCTGATGTTGTAGATAACTTGATGGTAGTTGAGTTCCCCCTGTTAGCTCTCATACCATGTTGGGCTGAGAAAAATCCCTTAGGATCTTTGCAGGGCTGAATTCTGGGTAGGACTTGTTGTAATTAGCGGAAGCGTTTGATTGAGTAGTTGAATCACCTTGCGCTGGTATGTGAGGGCAAAGTAAAAATTGATTGAAGCAAGGTGATACAAGATTATATAAGAGTACAAGGAATACGAAGAGATACGGTTGCAACTGCTTAGGATGTTGCTGTTGCGGCTCGATACAGTGCAGCTCGGGCAACTACTCTGTAACGAGTCAGTTGTGTGTCCTTGCTGTCGCACTGTACTTGTCAGGTCAAAGGTCGCTGACCTTTGACTTTCGCGTAACCTCTAGCAACCGCTCAACCTCCGAGGGTTGACTCGCCGGTGCTTCGATATACTTCACTTCGCTTCCGACTTGGTGTTTCAACACGACAGAGGCGCTTAGAGTTAATTGTTTCCAACAGATTACAGTGCACTCCCGACCGCGGCTAAGAAAGCATGCATTATCAAGAACGAATACCGTACGAAGAGTCAGAACTGACTCGAAGCGTCAGACGGTTGGATTGCATCTGGACCGTCGGAGCAGACGCCATCGGGCAACCGCAGGCACGAGGGTTTTTGGCGGGGACAGTTTTGTAACTGTACGCTCCGCACGGTTGGGAATGAGTTTGAATAAGGGAATGTACCCTTTAGAGTACATGGCTAGCTAGGTCGATTCGTCTTCCCTGTACTCATATTTATAGCTGCTGTATTTGCATGGTTTAAACTCATCTCAAGCATTTTATATTCGCTATGCTATTGGGGTTAAGGGCCCACCTAGTCTATCTAACCTGCGTGCGAACCTTCTCGAGAAGATTCTGGCAGCGATCACCTTCTGTTCGTAGCAGGTAGTACGGTAGGCAACTGTACCATGGTGCGTGCTTGCATGGTAAGAGTGTGAGTATGCTTACACAGACCGTATTATGCTTGTTGTTAATGTGATATCGAGTTGGTTAGAGTTAGCAAGAACCTAAATTAGCGACACCATTTTTCTATTCATTCTGTTTTTTTTTTTTTTTCTTTAAGTGCATGATTTAGCACTTTCTTGCCGTGTTTGGGTGGACAGCAATATGCCTGATACTAGAATAAAGGATTTTAGATACCGAGTTTCTTAGATGTGTACTGAAATGTACACTGTAAGCACTTAACAGCAAACATGGAATGCGATTCTTAGTGAGTGCGGGCGAGGTATCTCGGATAGGATCTCCCTCCACACTTTGTGGGGAATGGTCGGCCCAGACACTTTACTTTGACTGCGAGATTTTTGTTTCGGCGATTCCGTTCCGTTCCCGTGTGAAAATCGCCATCTTCAGGGAGTGAGCCGCATGCATTGCAGTCCGTGCAATTGATACGTGGACAAGAAACATCTAGGCCGCAGGCATTTTCAGCCAGGGCTGCTTTAGGCGCAGCAGGACTATCCAGAACCACAGAACTTGTGCTCGTGGAGGAAATGCAATGATTGTGAGATGAAACGAATGGTGCGCTGCCACTCCACACCGTTTTTGCTGATTCAGCACTTTTAGGCTGGAAAGTGTAGCACGTGAATGCATGACTAGGATACTCGCCACCCCATTAGCCTGGTCTATCCGCGATATATTTTCCCGGCTTATGAGGGGCTGGTTTGGGTGTACTGGCATCCTGATGACGTGCTCTTATGTTCCACACGTGGGTTCCTACTACTTGATTTGTTGAGCTGATCCTGTTCTTAATTTGTACGTCCTTTCAGGCGCCACATCAGAGGCAAGCACAGCATCGCCCATGCGCCTTTCCTGTCGACGGAATTCTTTGCAAAATCTTCCTACGAGCGAGGCGGGAACCATAACCACGCAGAAGAAATCTGCCGAACTTTCAGTTTCATCTGTTCAACTCAACCAATCACAGCACCGCTGTTCACATCCATTTCCCTTTCAGCAGCCAAGTCTGGATGGCGGGGCACTCCAAACGCCCCCTCAACCACGCGCGGGTCGCCGATCCCCCCTTTCCATCGGACTTGTTCTTCACTTTTCCCTCCCCAACTTCTTGTTAGACTCCCGCTTCGTGTCCGCTCTTCCCCCCCTGCCTCCCCCCGAAATCTCTCTCGACCACACAAATCACAAAATTATCAGCTGTTCAAAGAAATGAATCTGCCCAGCCCACACAACCGCCAGCAAAAAGTGCTGCCGCTGCACCTCGTATTCCGCAACCTCCAATCCACTCTCGCTGCTTCTGCCGTGTCTCACCCCACGTTCACTCCCTCTTCTGCTGTGCGGTGTGTGCGGCTCTGCCTGCCTGCCTGTCGGGGAGCTCTCACTCACACCGCACACTCCGTCGCAAGCAGGGCTGTCGATTGGTTTGGAGCCAGAACTTGAGAGGCAGAGGTGCCCAAAAAGCTGCCCTGAAATTAACGGGCTGAGAGCAAACCTGGCACTTGAAATCAGGGCTACCAGCTTTTTTGCACTTTCGCTAAGGAAACCCCACATCTCTTCGGGTCCGTTATCTTAGGCAAACTACTAAGAGCCAGCTAAGCAATAGGCTGAGTTACGAAACATGTCGATGGATTTGACAGGGATGGGAAAAGTAGGGGAATGGCTGGGAGGAGGCGAGTGGACTGGTGAGGGAATGGAAGGGAGGGAGGTATTAGTATGGGACGATTAGGGCTAGCTGCGGGATCTGCACTTGAAATCCGGGTTAGGCCCACAACCAGCACTTAACGGGGACAGGCTGCCCTCAAATCCAACCCTTAAACTTCGGAAGCTGGGCCGAACCCAACCCTTAATGTTCAGGGCATTAAGGGCATTTGCCCTTGAATCGTCAGCCCTGGTCGCAAGCAGACCTTATAGTCGAACCAGCCTTTTTCTGTGCCAGCGTGTCGCACTTTTTCTCAACACAGCACCCTCGCCCTATAACACATCCGCATCGTTCTTGGTTCACAGCCACTTCGGACCATCCTAAGCTTTCTATTACGACTTCCTACTCCAGAATTCGAGTCTCTGCTAACCGAATATTATACGAGCGTAGCGCTGAGTGAGTCAGACTCTGTTTGTTCCACTGGCGAGCCGCGACTGAGAAGCAATATTGCAAGAAATGGCGGCCGTTGCGCAGCCACAGATGCCTGTTTTTGAAACCCACGCCGGAGACCCTGGAATTCGCCTGTTCGGTCGGACAATAGAGGCCACAACCAGCCAGAGCGACTCTCCTCGCGCGTCGTTGTCTGGCGAATCGAGACGGACTAATGGCGGACGGGAGGATGACACTGCCGAAACTGCCGGATCTTCCGCCGTCAATTCCGCAGCCTCACAGCAGCAATGCCGCGGACTTGTAAGTATCTTTATAGATTACCGCTTGCGTACAGGTGAAGGCATCTTCATATATTTGTCGGCTTATCTGCATCTGATTATCCAATTTCTGAGACTGACCCATTTTTCCGTCTTCTCATCTTATTCTGTCCTCGATATGCGCAGGATGCGATACTAGCCGCCGCAATGGAGGGCCAGGGAGCGACCGGCAAACCAAAGCAAGCCCGCATCGCAAGTTGCTCGAGCATGAAAAGCCAAGTCGTCGACGAGCCGCGCGCAGGAAACGGCGCGACGGAAGGCGAGGATGACAATTGCGAGGGCAACGCGGGATGCAGAAAGCATTCGGCAATTGCGCACGCAGAGCAAGATAAGCACAGCAATGGCGCCGGCGCCGGGGATCAGCACAGCGATAGCGACGGGGCCGGGGATAGCGGCGTGGACGAGCCAACGGAGCAGGGACAGCCGGGGCAGGCGCAACTAGTGCAGGCGCAAGCGCAATTGGCGCAGCCAACGACGGGGGCTCAGGAGCAGGCGGCTTTCGAAGGTGCGGACGGGCAGGAGGAGCAGCAGCAGCCGCAATTGGAGCAGCAAGAGCAGCAGTCGCTGAAGCGGCCAACCAAGAAGCTTCCTTGCCCGCGATGCGCGAGTATGGATACTAAGTTCTGCTACTACAACAACTACAACGCGTCGCAGCCGCGCCACTTCTGCAAGGGCTGCCAGCGCTACTGGACCGCCGGCGGAACGCTCCGCAACGTCCCCGTCGGCTCCGGCCGCCGGAAGGGCAAGATTCCTGCGGGCGCCGCCACCGCCACCGCCGTTGCCGGCTCCCCGGGGAATCAACAGCCGACGGCCGGTCTCCCGCCGGCCGGTGGGGCTGTTTCCGGCCCATTTGGCTTCTGTCCGTCAATTGGTCGCAGCTGTAGCCCAGACGGCAGCAGCGTCACTGGATTAACCGGATTGACTGGATTGACCGGCGGAATGGCGAGTCCGGGGGCAGAAGTGCTGAGTATGAGCTCCCCCGCCGTTGCTGCCGCAGCCGCTGCCGCCGCAATGGCCGCCGCGTCTGCCGCCGCAGCCGTCGCGGGGTCTTCTCGGTGGGGCATGGATCCCGCTGTTGCTGCGACGGACGCGGGTTCGAATCCGTTCGCTGCCGCCTTACCACACGGCCAGTTTGTGCCGTCTAATCTGCCGACGCATCTGCCGGCGCATCTGCCGGCGCACTTGCCTCCGCACATGGCGGTCGACAGCAGCGCCGCTCTCCGCCAAATGGGTCTTCCCTCCGCCTTTTCCGCCCCCACCAGCGCAACTTTCGCCGCGCCGCCTGCTGCGCCCGGCGCGCAGGCTCCAGGCGGGATGGCGGGAAACCTGGCGGGTTTGGCGGCGCTTTATCCGTGGAGATTCGGTGGAGTTCCCTTCACGGCGGGCCAGGCTCCCGCCGAGGCTCCGCTTTCTCTCCCCGGACTCCCCAACTTGCCAGCGCCTTCCGCGCTCGGCGGTTTGGCGCGTGGAAGCCCGTCCGCCTTCTGCCCCTCGACAACAGCTGCACCAAGTAGCGCTCCTGGCGCGAGCGTGAGCGTGAGCGCAGGCCCTTCCGCGCATGCTCCGTTCCCCATCTCCGCGCCCGTGCCTTCCGCCTGGTCCCCGTACATGGGGCCATACCCTCCCGCATTCGCCCCTCTTCATCCCATGTCCGCGCAGCATCCGCCTGGTGCTCCCCCCTTCGCTCCGCCTTTCAACGTGCCTGCCTTTCCACCTGGAGCGCTTGCTCCCTGGTCCTCCGCGGGTTTTGCCCATCCGCCACTCCCCCACCCCGCGCAGCTTCCGCCGCACCCGTCCATGGACCTTTCCCGCCCATCGGAAGTGAATTTCCCCGCGTCCGCGCAGTCGAGTGTGAAGAGGGGGAGGGAGGTCGAGGGGAATGCGAGCGGGGCTGATGGCGCAGTGGACTTTTTGAACAAGCGGCAACGAGAGTGCTGAGGGGGGTTTGCTTACGGTTCAGACCGGTTCAAAGCGCACCTCAAGTGCGCTGCTGTAACAGTAGTGTGCAAAGGGACGCCTGACAGGCTAATACTTACAATAGGTGGTTTGCTAAATAAGGTCAGTTAGTGTGCTTTTGGTAAATGCTGTTTGTGACACTGTTAACCTGGAAAGGGTTTTTGGCCAATAAACATATGCAAGCTTGTCAAATTCCAGCCAATTCCCATCAATGTGCAGACGGTGGATCCATACATGTGAACAAGTCTCTTTTAGGAGCAAATATCATCAACTCAAATTTCCCGCAAGCTGTCTGTCGACCCTCTCTATCGCCCGCCCTTGCCACTCGGAACACCTCGTGTTTTACCCGACCCCACTCTAGTGCTGCAGGCACACACAGTCGTGTTTTGAGTCAACTCAAAACACGAATCAAATCAAATCTCCCGCAAGCTGTCTGGCGACCCTCTCTAATGCCCTTGCCACCCGGAACACCTCATGCTGTACCCGGCCCCAGTCCGGTGCTGCAGGCACATAGAGACGAGACGAGACAGATTGCCAAAGGCAGAAGAGACGGCGCAGGATGGAGTGGTTCAAGAGAAAGAGTACTACCAGCAGAAGCGTCCCAATGGAGAGGTATGTATGGCACGCATGGCACGCACGGCATGTATGGCATGTATGGTATGTCTGGCACGCATGGTATGTATGGCATGTATGGTATGTATGGCATGGATGGTATGTATGGCATGCATGGTATGTATGGCATGAATGGTATGTATGGCATGCATGGTATGTATGGCATGGAAGGTATGTATGGCATGCATGGTATGTATGGCATGGATGGTATGTATGGCACGCATGGTACGTATGGCATGGATGGTATGTATGGCATGCATGGTATGTATGGCATGGATGGTATGTATGGCATGCATGGTATGTATGGCATGGATGGTATGCATGGCATGAATGGTATGTATGGCATGGATGGTATGTATGGCATGGATGGTATGTATGGCATGGATGGTATGTATGGCATGCATGGTATGTATGGCATGGATGGTATGTATGGCATGCATGGTATGTATGGCATGGATGGTATGCATGGCATGCATGGTATGTATGGCATGCATGGTATGTATGGCATGGATGGTATGTATGGCATGGATGGTATGTATGGCATGCATGGTATGTATGGCATGAATGGTATGTATGGCATGCATGGTATGTATGGCATGGATGGTATGTATGGCATGCATGGTATGTATGGCATGGATGGTATGCATGGCATGCATGGTATGTATGGCATGGATGGTATGTATGGCATGGATGGTATGTATGGCATGGATGGTATATATGGCATGCATGGTATGTATGGCATGGATGGTATGTATGGCATGCATGGTATGTATGGCATGGATGGTATGCATGGCATGCATGGTATGCATGGCATGCATGGTATGTATGGCATGGATGGTATGTATGGCATGGATGGTATGTATGGCATGGATGGTATGTATGGCATGCATGGTATGTATGGCATGAATGGTATGTATGGCATGCATGGCATTCATACCAGATGTTGCTCCACCACCCCTGGTTGCGTCCTGTAGCGTGTCGGCCACTGAAGGGAAGGCCACTGACCCATAGTCGTTGGCACGACTGGGACCATACACCTGGCAGGGGGAAGGGAGCAGGGGGAGAGGGAGAGAGGGCAGGGCGCGAGGGCTGAGAGAAGGCCACTGACCCATAGTCGTTGGCCCGGCTGGGCCGTACGCCTGATCCTCTGACATTTTCCAGTGAGCAGCAGCACTTAGGTTCAGGCTCAAGCAAGTAGGAAAAAAAAACAGTGTAAACCGGAGTCTGTGAAATTGGAGTCAGTGAAACCGGAGCCATCAGCCCTCATCAGCCACCATCAGCCCCCATCACCCCTCCACACATACGCATACTCACCATGTGCCAGGGCGCAACAGCAGTACCATCACCCCCCATCACCCCCCATCACCCCTCATCACCACTCCACATACTCACCATGTGCCGGTACCACGTGTAGCCGGGCCCGAGCCCAGCAGCTTCCAGGAAGCCGCGCTCAGCCAGCATGAGTCGGTCATTGATGTCCCTCAGAAGAAGAGGAAGAGGCATGTCAAGATGCACGCTGGGGGATACGCTCATCAATCTGCGCTGTGCCAATGCCACTCCTCCTTCTCCTTCTCCCCCTCCTCCGCCTACTCCTGATTCAACTCCTCCCGCTCGCTTTCCTTCTCCTACTGCTTCTCCTGCTGCTTCTCCTGCTGCTTCTCCTACTGCTTCTCCTGCTGCTTCTCCTGCTGCTTCTCCTACTGCTTCTCCTGCTGCTTCTCCTGCTGCAATAGCTTCTGCTCTCTGATTGGTGATCTCTGTCACTGCCGTCTCAAGCTGGCCAATGGCGTTCCAGATAGCATCCAGAGACACGTGCTGCTGCGCTGCGTGTGACTGTAACGAGGCCTGGAGCTCGTTGGTGTAATCCTGGGGAAAGGAGGGAGGTGTGAATGCAGGTTGAGATGGGTTCTTAAGGCGTCTCAAAGTAACGAGGCCTCCAGCTCGTTGGTGTAATCCGGGGGAAGGCAGAGGGGGGGGTAAATGCGGGGTGTGATGGGTGCATGAGAGCAGGGTTTTGAGACGTCTCAAAACACTTCTTCAAACACGGGGTGTGATGGGTGCATGAGAGCAGGGCCAGATGGGGTGTGACATGATACGTGGTGCTGTGCTGCATGTGACTGTAACGAAGCCTCCCACTCATTGGAGTAGACTGTATTCCAGGGGAAAGAGGCGGGTGAGAATGAGGGGTCAGATGGGGTGTGCCATGCCATGACACGTTCTGCTGTAAAAACGAGTGCATGAAAACGAGTGTGTGAGGGGAGTGTGCGTGGGCGTGTGTAGGGGTGCGTGGGTGCGTGGGTGCGTGGGTGTGTGTGTGTGTGTGTGTGTGTGTGTGTGAGTGTGCGTGGTGCGGGCATGTGCGACTATAACTGCGACTGCACCCACATGCACAAGGCTCAGCAGACGGGCTTGCGACCCACCTTGAGAGCCTGAGGTGACTTGTGACTGTTGAGTGGGTATCGCAAATCACCTTGACCCACTGCTGACTCAAAAGTCACCTCACATGGGCTTGCGACCCACCTTGAGCCTGAGGGCGTAAGTGGAGTAGTTGAAAGGGAGAGCCGCGTCTCCTGCTAGGCGCAGGGCAAGGGACTCCCACAGCTGGGCTGTGGCACAAAGTGACTTTTGAGTCGACTGAAAAGTCACAAGGGACCCCCACAGCTGGGCTGTGGCACGATGGCGGGTGAAGGGAGAACGCACACGCACCTTGAGCCTGAGGGCGTATGTGGAGAAGTTGAAAGGGAGCGCTGCGTCTCCTGCCAGGCGCAGAGTAAGAGCACCCCACAGCTGGGCTGAGGCGCGGTGGCGGGCGAAAAGAGGATCCAGGACGGTTGTCATGTAGTGGTAGTTGTCGTACAGGCTGTGATACATGGGGTAGTCTGGGGGTGTGGGAGTGGGTTGAGAGGGGTAAGGTGAGGTGAAAAGAGAGGGTCCAGGACGGTTGTCATGTAGTGGTAGTTGTCGTACAGGCTGTGATACATGGGGTAGTCTGGGGGTGTGGGAGTGGGTTGAGTGGGGTAAGGTGAGGTGAAAAGAGAGGGTCCAGGACGGTTGTCATGTAGTGGTAGTTGTCGTACAGGCTGTGATACATGGGGTAGTCTGGGGGTGTGGGAGTGGGTTGAGAGGGGTAAGGTGAGGTGAAAAGAGAGGGTCCAGGACTGTTGTCATGTAGTGGTAGTTGTCGTACAGGCTGTGATACATGGGGTAGTCTGGAGGGGTGGGAGTAGGTGGGATGGGATGAGGAGGGCAAGGAGCGGAACAATGATGCTCCCAAGATGGTGGTAGTTGTCGTACAGGCTGTGATACATGGGGCAGTCTGGGAGGGGGAGAAGGGAGGGGTGGGTGGTGGGAGGGTTGATGTGAGAGAGGGTCCAGTACAGTTGTCATGCAAGTATCACAAGTCTTGATCCTTTTGCTAAGCGTTTTCTCATAAGTTTGCTGCTACTCCCATCATGAACCTTGAAGGGAGGGGTGGGTGGTGGGAGGGATGATGTGAGCGAGGGTCTAGTACAGTTGTCATGCAGTGGTAGCTGTCGTACAGGCTGTGATACATGGGGTAGTCTGGGAGGGGGGTGATTGGGGCGTGACGGGGGGCATAGGCGGGATGGGGTGAGGAAGGAAAGAGAGGATCTAGGATGGTTGCTACTTAGTGGTGATATGAAAGTTGAGGGCGGTTAGTGAGAGGGATAAGTGAGGAGCGCAAAGAGAGGGGCGGGGACAGGGCCAGGAAGGCAAAGAGAGGGGCGGGGACAGGGCCAGGAAGGCAAAGGGAGTTATGAATGAGGAGGGCAATCAGTGGGGGCAATATCAAGCTGCTGTTAATAACTCGCGCTTAGACATTTCAATGGTCTTTGTGAGAAATCTCAGAAGTAGCTCCCTCATTCCGCACCTCCCCCTCAAGACCCACCTTCCCATCAGAACACACCTTCCCCAAAGTGCAGGTCAGCGGCGGCAATCCCAAGGTGCTGCAGGAACGGAGCATAGTCGCTGCCGCCGCCGCCCAGCCTGCCAAGCTGGTGGAAGATATGATATGATATGATACGATATGATATGATACGATATTATATGTGATATGATATGATATGATATGGTATGATATGGCATGATATGATATGATATGATATGATATGATATGATATGATATGATATGATATGATATGATATGATACCATACCATATTCTACACCATACAATACAATACGGTGCACAGCACAAAAACGAGGAGATGGAAGGAACAGCAAGTAACCCACCGGACTACTCACACATGACAGTATCAGCACCCACCACAGCCCACTACCAGCAGACTGACTCACATGGGGCACGGTGCGGTTGGTCCTCTCAGCCCACGAGGCATACACCGACTGGCCTTGCTGTGCTTTTAACAAGCCAACACACACCAATTTACCCACTCACAGCCCATAGCAGGCGACTCACACCCCACTCACAGGCTACTCACATAGGGCACAGTGCGGTTGGTCCTCTCAGCCCACGAGGCATACACCGACTGGCCTTGCTTGTCTGGATCCTCCACCTGTGCAATACAAAGACAAGGCGTGACTTCCCAAGACGAAGGGGCATGATGGGTTGCCTGAACCGGACGGTGCAAAAAAACACGAGACAGCCAAAAAAGACAAAACTAATGAAGCGCATAGAAAGCACGCACGCATGCACGCACGCACGCACGCACGCATGCGCGCACACTCACACACATACACCCCCCCCTCCCCCCCCAAAAAAAGAAGAAAAAAAAGCGGAAAGCGCATGCAGAGGCACCTGCAGGTCTCACCAGCTCAGCTCAGCCATCTCTCTGATGACGTCATCCAGCGTGGAGTGGCAGCAGCACACAGCCCAGCACCCGACACGCTTCAACGATCCCAGCAGCACCACCACAAGTGCACGACCGCTTGCAAATCACTCACAAGCTCCTTTGAGTGGACTCTAAACTCACCAGCTCAGCAACCTCTCTGATGACGTCATCCAGCTGTGGAGTGGCAGCAGCATGAAAACCAGCGCCAGACACGGCGGTGTCGACGTTTATGTAAGCGACAGCGCGAGAGGAGAGCAGCGGGGCGTTGTCCTCCACCCACTCGGTTGACCCAATCTGGCGAGTGGGAGGGAGAATAGCGGAGGGAGAATGGCAGGGCGAGTGAGTGAGTGAGTTAATAAAGACAAGGGCATTGACAAGAGCAGTGGGGCGTTGTCCTCTCCACCCACCCTGTGGGCCCAATCTGACGAGTCGGAGTGATTGGTGGGAGGGAGGGTGAAGAGCTTTTGAAGATTCTTGAGAATCTCTTGAGTGGTCTCCACAAACCCACTCCTACGAGAGAATTGGGGTGTTGTCCTCCATCCACCCACTCTGAGTGAGTCGAGCTTTGAAAACTGTCCATCCCTCTTGATACCATGTGGCTCCTCCCTCTTGATACCATATGGCTCCTCCCTCTTGATACCATGTGGCTCCTCCCTCTTGATACCATGTGGCTCCTCCCTCTTGATACCATGTGGCTCCTCCCTCTTGATACCATGTGGCTCCTCCCTCTTGATACCATGTGGCTCCTCCCTCTTGATACCATGTGGCTCCTCCCTCTTGATACCATGTGGCTCCTCCCTCTTGATACCATGTGGCTCCTCCCTCTTGATACCATGTGGCTCCTCCCTCTTGATACCATGTGGCTCCTCCCTCTTGATACCATGTGGCTCCTCCCTCTTGATACCATGTGGCTCCTCCCTCTTGATACCATGTGGCTCCTCCCTCTTGATACCATGTGGCTCCTCCCTCTTGATACCATGTGGCTCCTCCCTCTTGATACCATGTGGCTCCTCCCTCTTGATACCATGTGGCTCCTCCCTCTTGATACCATGTGGCTCCTCCCTCTTGATACCATGTGGCTCCTCCCTCTTGATACCATGTGGCTCCTCCCTCTTGATACCATGTGGCTCCTCCCTCTTGATACCATGTGGCTCCTCCCTCTTGATACCATGTGGCTCCTCCCTCTTGATACCATGTGGCTCCTCCCTCTTGATACCATGTGGCTCCTCCCTCTTGATACCATGTGGCTCCTCCCTCTTGATACCATGTGGCTCCTCCCTCTTGATACCATGTGGCTCCTCCCTCTTGATACCATGTGGCTCCTCCCTCTTGATACCATGTGGCTCCTCCCTCTTGATACCATGTGGCTCCTCCCTCTTGATACCATGTGGCTCCTCCCTCTTGATACCATGTGGCTCCTCCCTCTTGATACCATGTGGCTCCTCCCTCTTGATACCATGTGGCTCCTCCCTCTTGATACCATGTGGCTCCTCCCTCTTGATACCATGTGGCTCCTCCCTCTTGATACCATGTGGCTCCTCCCTCTTGATACCATGTGGCTCCTCCCTCTTGATACCATGTGGCTCCTCCCTCTTGATACCATGTGGCTCCTCCCTCTTGATACCATGTGGCTCCTCCCTCTTGATACCATGTGGCTCCTCCCTCTTGATACCATGTGGCTCCTCCCTCTTGATACCATGTGGCTCCTCCCTCTTGATACCATGTGGCTCCTCCCTCTTGATACCATGTGGCTCCTCCCTCTTGATACCATGTGGCTCCTCCCTCTTGATACCATGTGGCTCCTCCCTCTTGATACCATGTGGCTCCTCCCTCTTGATACCATGTGGCTCCTCCCTCTTGATACCATGTGGCTCCTCCCTCTTGATACCATGTGGCTCCTCCCTCTTGATACCATGTGGCTCCTCCCTCTTGATACCATGTGGCTCCTCCCTCTTGATACCATGTGGCTCCTCCCTCTTGATACCATGTGGCTCCTCCCTCTTGATACCATGTGGCTCCTCCCTCTTGATACCATGTGGCTCCTCCCTCTTGATACCATGTGGCTCCTCCCTCTTGATACCATGTGGCTCCTCCCTCTTGATACCATGTGGCTCCTCCCTCTTGATACCATGTGGCTCCTCCCTCTTGATACCATGTGGCTCCTCCCTCTTGATACCATGTGGCTCCTCCCTCTTGATACCATGTGGCTCCTCCCTCTTGATACCATGTGGCTCCTCCCTCTTGATACCATGTGGCTCCTCCCTCTTGATACCATGTGGCTCCTCCCTCTTGATACCATGTGGCTCCTCCCTCTTGATACCATGTGGCTCCTCCCTCTTGATACCATGTGGCTCCTCCCTCTTGATACCATGTGGCTCCTCCTCTTGATACCATGTGGCTCCTCCCTCTTGATACCATGTGGCTCCTCCCTCTTGATACCATGTGGCTCCTCCCTCTTGATACCATGTGGCTCCTCCCTCTTGATACCATGTGGCTCCTCCCTCTTGATACCATGTGGCTCCTCCCTCTTGATACCATGTGGCTCCTCCCTCTTGATACCATGTTGCTCCTCCCTCTTGATACCATGTGGCTCCTCCCTCTTGATACCATGTGGCTCCTCCCTCTTGATACCATGTGGCTCCTCCCTCTTGATACCATGTGGCTCCTCCCTCTTGATACCATGTGGCTCCTCCCTCTTGATACCATGTGGCTCCTCCCTCTTGATACCATGTGGCTCCTCCCTCTTGATACCATGTGGCTCCTCCCTCTTGATACCATGTGGCTCCTCCCTCTTGATACCATGTGGCTCCTCCCTCTTGATACCATGTGGATCCTCCCTCTTGATACCATGTGGATCCTCCCTCTTGATACCATGTGGCTCCTCCCTCTTGATACCATGTGGCTCCTCCCTCTTGATACCATGTGGCTCCTCCCTCTTGATACCATGTGGCTCCTCCCTCTTGATACCATGTGGCTCCTCCCTCTTGATACCATGTGGCTCCTCCCTCTTGATACCATGTGGCTCCTCCCTCTTGATACCATGTGGCTCCTCCCTCTTGATACCATGTGGCTCCTCCCTCTTGATACCATGTGGCTCCTCCCTCTTGATACCATGTGGCTCCTCCCTCTTGATACCATGTGGCTCCTCCCTCTTGATACCATGTGGCTCCTCCCTCTTGATACCATGTGGCTCCTCCCTCTTGATACCATGTGGCTCCTCCCTCTTGATACCATGTGGCTCCTCCCTCTTGATACCATGTGGCTCCTCCCTCTTGATACCATGTGGCTCCTCCCTCTTGATACCATGTGGCTCCTCCCTCTTGATACCATGTGGCTCCTCCCTCTTGATACCATGTGGCTCCTCCCTCTTGATACCATGTGGCTCCTCCCTCTTGATACCATGTGGCTCCTCCCTCTTGATACCATGTGGCTCCTCCCTCTTGATACCATGTGGCTCCTCCCTCTTGATACCATGTGGCTCCTCCCTCTTGATACCATGTGGCTCCTCCCTCTTGATACCATGTGGCTCCTCCCTCTTGATACCATGTGGCTCCTCCCTCTTGATACCATGTGGCTCCTCCCTCTTGATACCATGTGGCTCCTCCCTCTTGATACCATGTGGCTCCTCCCTCTTGATACCATGTGGCTCCTCCCTCTTGATACCATGTGGCTCCTCCCTCTTGATACCATGTGGCTCCTCCCTCTTGATACCATGTGGCTCCTCCCTCTTGATACCATGTGGCTCCTCCCTCTTGATACCATGTGGCTCCTCCCTCTTGATACCATGTGGCTCCTCCCTCTTGATACCATGTGGCTCCTCCCTCTTGATACCATGTGGCTCCTCCCTCTTGATACCATGTGGCTCCTCCCTCTTGATACCATGTGGCTCCTCCCTCTTGATACCATGTGGCTCCTCCCTCTTGATACCATGTGGCTCCTCCCTCTTGATACCATGTGGCTCCTCCCTCTTGATACCATGTGGCTCCTCCCTCTTGATACCATGTGGCTCCTCCCTCTTGATACCATGTGGCTCCTCCCTCTTGATACCATGTGGCTCCTCCCTCTTGATACCATGTGGCTCCTCCCTCTTGATACCATGTGGCTCCTCCCTCTTGATACCATGTGGCTCCTCCCTCTTGATACCATGTGGCTCCTCCCTCTTGATACCATGTGGCTCCTCCCTCTTGATACCATGTGGCTCCTCCCTCTTGATACCATGTGGCTCCTCCCTCTTGATACCATGTGGCTCCTCCTCTTGATACCATGTGGCTCCTCCCTCTTGATACCATGTGGCTCCTCCCTCTTGATACCATGTGGCTCCTCCCTCTTGATACCATGTGGCTCCTCCCTCTTGATACCATGTGGCTCCTCCTCTTGATACCATGTGGCTCCTCCCTCTTGATACCATGTGGCTCCTCCCTCTTGATACCATGTGGCTCCTCCCTCTTGATACCATGTGGCTCCTCCCTCTTGATACCATGTGGCTCCTCCCTCTTGATACCATGTGGCTCCTCCCTCTTGATACCATGTGGCTCCTCCCTCTTGATACCATGTGGCTCCTCCCTCTTGATACCATGTGGCTCCTCCCTCTTGATACCATGTGGCTCCTCCCTCTTGATACCATGTGGCTCCTCCCTCTTGATACCATGTGGCTCCTCCCTCTTGATACCATGTGGCTCCTCCCTCTTGATACCATGTGGCTCCTCCCTCTTGATACCATGTGGCTCCTCCCTCTTGATACCATGTGGCTCCTCCCTCTTGATACCATGTGGCTCCTCCCTCTTGATACCATGTGGCTCCTCCCTCTTGATACCATGTGGCTCCTCCCTCTTGATACCATGTGGCTCCTCCCTCTTGATACCATGTGGCTCCTCCCTCTTGATACCATGTGGCTCCTCCCTCTTGATACCATGTGGCTCCTCCCTCTTGATACCATGTGGCTCCTCCCTCTTGATACCATGTGGCTCCTCCCTCTTGATACCATGTGGCTCCTCCCTCTTGATACCATGTGGCTCCTCCCTCTTGATACCATGTGGCTCCTCCCTCTTGATACCATGTGGCTCCTCCCTCTTGATACCATGTGGCTCCTCCCTCTTGATACCATGTGGCTCCTCCCTCTTGATACCATGTGGCTCCTCCCTCTTGATACCATGTGGCTCCTCCCTCTTGATACCATGTGGCTCCTCCCTCTTGATACCATGTGGCTCCTCCCTCTTGATACCATGTGGCTCCTCCCTCTTGATACCATGTGGCTCCTCCCTCTTGATACCATGTGGCTCCTCCCTCTTGATACCATGTGGCTCCTCCCTCTTGATACCATGTGGCTCCTCCCTCTTGATACCATGTGGCTCCTCCCTCTTGATACCATGTGGCTCCTCCCTCTTGATACCATGTGGCTCCTCCCTCTTGATACCATGTGGCTCCTCCCTCTTGATACCATGTGGCTCCTCCCTCTTGATACCATGTGGCTCCTCCCTCTTGATACCATAGTGGCTCCTCCCTCTTGATACCATGTGGCTCCTCCCTCTTGATACCATGTGGCTCCTCCCTCTTGATACCATGTGGCTCCTCCCTCTTGATACCATGTGGCTCCTCCCTCTTGATACCATGTGGCTCCTCCCTCTTGATACCACGTGGCTCCTCCCTCTTGATACCACGTGGCTCCTCCCTCTTGATACCACGTGGCTCCTCCCTCTCGATACCACGTGGCTCCTCCCTCTCGATACCACGTGGCTCCTCCCTCTCGATACCACGTGGCTCCTCCCTCTCGATACCATGTGGCTCCTCCCTCTCGATACCATGTGGCTCCTCCCTCTTGATACCATGTGGCTCCTCCCTCTTGATACCATGTGGCTCCTCCCTCTTGATACCATGTGGCTCCTCCCTCTTGATACCATATGCCCCCTCCCTCCCCAGTCGTCACAGCCAGCCCCATCAGTCCCTCCCATCTATACCTCCTCATTCCCCACCCATGCTCACCAGTCCAAACTCCTCTGCATCCCACGAGCCAAAAACGATGGAGCGCGCAGGGCGCCACCCAGCAGCCAGCAATGACCCAAACGCGCGTGCCATCTGATGGGGGGGGTTAGTGGGGGAGGGATGGGTGGGGATCGGGGGGGGGGGGTGGGGGGGGATGGTGGGGGATGGGAGGAGGGATCAAACACGATGGAGCGCGCAGGGCGCCACCCAGCAGCCAGCAATGACCCAAACGCGCGTGCCATCTGAAGGAGGAGGGGAGAGAAGCCAGCCAGGGGTGGAGAAAAGGTGTGGGGGAGGAAAGGTGTGGGGGAGGAAAGGTGTGGGGGAGAAAAGGTGTGGGGGAGGAAAGGTGTGGGGGAGGAAAGGTGTGGGGGAGGAAAGGTGTGGGGGAGGAAAGGTGTGTGGGAGGAAAGGTGTGTGGGAGGAAAGGTGTGTGGGAGGAAAGGTGTGTGGGAGGAAAGGTGTGTGGGAGGAAAGGTGTGTGGGAGGAAAGGTGTGGGGGGGGAAAGCAAGCACTGCAGGCAGCAGGCAGCAGGCAGCATGAACGCATGAACGCATGAGCATGCAATAGCATAGCTTCAAACATAGGGTGGTAGTCCCTCCCTACCTCGAGCATGCATGCCGTGCCACTGTTGGGGTCTGCAGCGCCAAACACCCACGCATCCCTGTGGTTACCCACCAGCACGTATCTGCACGTGCGGTGGGGCATAGGATAGGGGTATGGGACGTATGTAACAGACACGGAAGGGAGAGCATGGGACGTGGGTTGGGTTGGGGTCTGCAGCAACTAACACCCACGCGTCCCTGTGGTTCCCCACCAGCACGTATCTGCACGTGCGAGGGGAAGTGAAGGGGCACAGAGGGCATGGGGGACTTGGGTGGTGGGTGAGATCATGGGGCGTGCGTGCGTGCGGGGTACGAAACAGGTTTGTGTGTGATATGCGTCTGGCCAAAACAAGGACCACATGAGTTTGGCCAAAAGAATTACCAGATACACACGAGTCGTGATAACTTCACTTCAAAATTACCATGATGACCCACTCTCTTACTTGACCAAGCCAAAACACTCTCACGCATATCACCCTCGTCCCCATGTTGCCACGCCCCCACCCACCTGTGAGGTTCCGATTGGCCCTTGATCGACCCAATCACGTTGCGAATGCTAGTAACGGTGTCGTTCACCTGGATTGGGGTAGGAGAGATGGTTGTGGCGGGGGCGGGCGAGCAGATATTCACAACACTCTTATTTAATAATCCACAGCAGCAATTCTGGTCTGGGCAGGATGATGGGGAAAGCACGGGGAAAGAAAACAGGGCAAGGGGGGGGAAAGGGAAACTGGGGTATGGTTTGGATCATGGAGACATGATGGCAAGGGAGAGCAGGGGGCGAGGCGAAGCCAAGGGAGAAATGTTGCTGAAGAGGACTAATTTGAGCCAAGCCAACCACATCCACCCCTTTGATCTTTCCCTTCCACCCCGCTCATGCCTCAACACTCACAACCAGTATCTCCCTCACCTCTATTTCCATCTCCACCACTTCAGGCCCCGGCCCAGCCCAACACGGTACTCCACTAGCCCCTCAATCGCCCCAATCCACCCATCTACACCCCTCCTCACCACCATCCACCACATCTCACCTCTATTTCCATCTCCACCACTACAGGACCCGGTCCAACACGATACTCCAACCCTTCGATATCCCCAATCCATTCTTCTGGGGCAAAAGCACCCCCAAGCAGCTCCAGGATATAATTCGCCTGCCCGTACGACAGCGGCAGGGCGGGGATGGGCGGCAGGCTGCCGGCCACCTCGGATAAGGACAAGCGCTCGCCGCCCGGGCGGGAGGGCCAGCCTGGCGTCTGTGGGTCGCCGAGAGACTCGTAGATTGAGCCGCGCTGTTTCGGGGAAGCAGGGAGGGGGGTGGGGTTGGGTGGGGTGGGGAGTGTGGGGTTGGTTGGGGTTGGGAGGGGTGGGGAGTGTGGGGTTGGTTGGGGTTGGGAGGTTGGGAAGAGGAGTGTGGGGTTGGTTGGGGTTGGGAGGTTGGGCAGGCGAGACGGCCAGCCTGGCGCCTGTGGATCTCCGAGAGACTCGTAGATTGAGCCGGGTTGGGGGTGGGAGGGGGGGAAGGAGGGAAGTTCTCAAAAGCCAAGGACTCGTGGAATGCGTCACTCTTAAAAGCCAAGGTTCTCTTAAAATGCCCTGGAGAGGAGAGAAGACAGCAGAAATCTCACCTGATGACTTTTGAGTCGACTCAAAAGTCACTTGGGTTCTCAAAAGCCGAGGACTCGTGGAATGCGTCTCTAAAAATGCCCTGGAGCGGAGAGAAGACAGCAGAAATCTCACCTGGGCGCCAGAGGGTGGCAGGCCCGGGCCAGAGGGGTAGAGAGTGGTGCTGCCGTAGTCTGCTGGGTCGGAGTAGATTATTGCTGCCTTGGCGCCACACGCTGCTGCATTGCGCACCTGATGGTGAGGGAGGGGAGAAAGGGGAGAAAGGGGGGAAAGGGGGGAAAGGGGAGAAAGGGGGGGAAAGGGGGGAAAGGGGGGAAAGGGCAAACAGGGTGAAGCGGTGCGAGAGAACTTTTGAGTCGACTCGAGAAGTAAACCAAAACCTGTAAAAGCAAAACATTCGTAACAATCAACCCCTAACCAAATCTCCAGCCCCCCACCTTGTCTCCTCTGTAGATCTTCCCATATCGCATCAGCACTATCGCTCCTGCACATGCCCCTTCGCCTCCCCCTCCACCTCCTCCCGCGCCTCCTCCCCTCTCCACCCCCCCTTTACCCCTCCCCTCTCCTCCTTCCCCCTCTCCTCCTCCCCCTCCTCCTTCCCCTCCTTTCCCGCTCCCTCCCTCTCGCAGCAGATCAATCAGCATCTGGAAATCCTCCTCTGTTCCATAGTTGGCATATATGACAGGTCCCCTCACACTTCCCCCTTCCTCATCGCCTCCTTCTCCTCCTCCTCCTCCTCCTCCTCCTCCTCTACCTCCTCCTCCTCCTCCTCCTCCTCCTCCTCCTCCTCCTCCTCCTCCTCCTCCTCCTCCTCCTCCTCCTCCTCCTCCTCCTCCTCTCCCCTCTCCCCTTCCTCCCCTGCTCCTCCTCCCCTTCGTCCCGGGCGTGTAAGCCAGGAACGGCACCGAAGCCAGAGGGTCGTGGGAGTACGGGTCGCCAGGTACGGGAAGCTCCCGGAGCGACAGCTCGCGCGTGATTGGCTCAACGATCGCGAGGCGCTGCCTGATTGGCCGACTCAGAAGCACTGGGTAATCGGCGTAGTGGGCTGCGATGCCAAACGCCTGTGGGGTGAACACGGGGAGAGGGGGCGAGCACAGGGGGGGAGGGGGAGAGCAGCACTGGGTAATCGGCGTAATGGGCTGCGATGCCAAACGCCTGAGACAGGGAGGGGAAGGCGGAGGGGGAGAGGAGGGGGAAAGCGCAGGGGGGGAAATAGGGGCACAGGGGGGAAAGGGAGGGGAGAGGGAGAGAACTGAGGGAAGAAACGGGGATCATAGGCCGAAAAGATTGGGCGGGAAAGAATGCGCGGGAAAGAATGGGCGGGAAAGAATGGGCGGGAAAGAAAGGGCGGGAAAGAATGCGTGGGAAAGAATGGGCGGGAAAGAATGGGCGGGAAAGAATGGGCGGGAAAGAATGGGCGGGAAAGGATGGGCGGGAAAGAACGGGCGGGAAAGAATGGGCGGGAAAGAACGGGCGGGAAAGAATGGGCGGGAAAGCCAAGCTCGTTAGTGCAGAGCCGAAGCTATTAACTATAGTACGCCTAAAATAGCAGCTTAAAACGCGTGCGCGCGGCTCACCTCCAACTGTTCTTTCACGTATCGGGCAGTTTCAAAGTTTTCAGGGGTACCCGCAATGTGGGGACGTTTTGTGACCACTTTCAAAAACTCCGCTAAACTGTCATTCGATACAATTGCCATGAAATCCGCTATAGGAGCAGTGACAACGCCAGCTCCAGCAGAGGCTCCGGAATCCACGCCGAAAAACCCGGAACTGCTAGCGCAATCGCGTCCGTTCTCGCATAGCGGCGCGGGGCATATCCCAAGCCACGCCTTCGACCAATACCCAGGCGCCACGTGGATCCCCGCGATTAGAAGAACAACCGCGGCGAGAGCCAATCCGAGCCGAGAGAGAACACGAGGTATGTGAATCACGCGGCGTGGGGACGGAATTAAAGGCGCGGTAAGGGGGGACGAGCGGGACAAGGGGTTGCGGACAGCCATGGTGCTGAGGTTGCAGGGTATTTCTGAGAACTCTAAAAGTTACGAGCCTACGAGTCCTGAGCCTACGAGCCGTGAGCCTACGAGCGGCACACAACGGTAAGTTCTACAGTCTAAACGGGCAACTTCTTATCGAAACGAGCGCGCGTGCGCGCGCGCGCGCGGCGGTAGCTGGCTATAGTAACGCTCTGGGCGGCGAACCATCCCGAGCTTGAAATGGAGAAACGGGCTGCGCGGAGGAAGAACTAGACTAGTAGTACCTACATGGAGAAACGGGAGTGCCAAATAGTAGTATGCATGCCTACTAGAAATGCACACTACATTTGCCGCTGTTCAGACGAAGGTATGCATTGGGAACTGCGGCTGCCTGGCGTGGCGGACAAAGTCCGAGCCAAAAACAGCACGGGAATGGGTACAATAATGTTCTGTAGACCGTAGTACACTTGACTTATCACCCACCAGCATGTTTACATATAAACTTCAACAAGCACGAAATCCTACAAAGTAGGGATTGGATTAACACTGAATGGAGGTACCAGTACTGGTACTTGCTTCTTCACATGTACTGGTACTGCATAAATCTTGGAAAAGAAGCATGGAAAACTGAATGGTCTGGTGTGCTAGAGGCATGTGTGTATGTAGAGGGAGAGGTTACACACGGATACAAGCCTTCTGACTACTTCAAACACAATCATTCACAACTGTGCATTCAATTCAACATTGATTCCACAAGAAGCCCTTCTTTAACGCCTTATCTAAAAAGCAGGAACAGGGGCGGCGGCGGCAGGAGGGGGGGGGGGGGCAGCAAAGGCATCGGGCACAGTGGCAGTTGTTGGGCTGAAAAAGCCCTAAGGATCTTTGCAGGGGTGAACTCTGGGTAGAGTTGGTGTAGTAGCGGAAGTGTTTAATAAAGAGTTGTGAACCACCTTGCGCTAGTATGTGAGGGCAAAGTAAGTTGATTAAAACAAAGAGATACAAGATTATATATGAATACAAGGATTATGAAAAGACACAGTTATTGTTAGAATGAGAACTACAGCGGAATGCGTTGTATTGACAGAATTGGGGTACATAACCTAACCCTAACTAGTTGTACCCCATATAGCCCAACCCACTACAGGCTATAATATTTGTCACACCCCCATAGCCTAAGTGGGGAAGGCCAATTAACAACAGGCAACCTACGGTCACAAGACCAGTCAAAAACAAGAGAAAGAAAACAAAGCTCAAGGTGGATCACAACGTCACCACCTAATCTGAGCACAAGCAAAGGGCCACAAGGCCAGTCCAAAAGTGTGCAAACAAATATATATAGATATATATAAGGTACAAGCAAGCAACAGACAAAGAGCACCCTACAACAGTCAACTAGACCCAGTCTCAACGAGGTCTAACTGCAGACAAAACCGACGGTGGTCACAAGGCTGGAGGGCCTTGGTGAAGATGTCTGCAGTGTTGGCCTCGGATGCCACAAAGTCCAGACGAGCCTGTCCGCGTCTCTGCAACTCTCGAAGGAGGAAGTACCTGACGTCGATGTGCTTCACTCGGCTCTCCAGTCGAGGCTCACGACACAGGAGAATCATCGCCCTGTTGTCAGCAAACAGGGTCGGTGCAGAGCTCGGCCGCTCACCAAGGTCAGTGAGAAAAAAGGTCAACCAGCGTAGCTCCTGAGCAGCAAGGGCCCCAGCGTAGATCTCGGCCTCTGCGGTAGAAGTCGCAACAGAGGAGGACCGAGTAGACCTCCACGAAACAGCTCCAGAACCCAGGTTGAAACAGTAACCCTGCGTAGACCTCTGAGTCTCAACGTCGTCAGCGTAGGAAGAGTCACAGTGACCGGTGAGTACAACTGGCTGTGTCCCTCCAAGTACAAGCCCCATGCCTGATGTCGCGCCAAGGTACTTCGCCACCCTCTTAGCCGCCGCCCAGTGAACAGGACGGTGTCTCCCAGTCGCAACAAAGCGAGACAGGATGCTAAGGGGGAAGGCGAGGTCCGGGCGAGTGCACGTCATCAGGTACATGAGGCAGCCCACCAGCTCTGCGTAGGGACCACTGGGCTCGAACGGCTCGTCAGGAAAAGGCCCAGTGAGTCTGTGGTCTACAGCAAGAGGAGTGGGGGCAGGAGAAGAGTCCTGAAGCCCGAACCGCTGAAGAACCTGCTGCACCATGTGTGACTGAGTGAGAGTGATGGTGCGAGCGGCTCTGTCCCTGGAGATCTGTAGGCCAAGGTAGCGGCGCAGTTCCCCAAGGTCAGTGCAGGTGTGTCTCTTCTGCAGTTCGGACTTCACCTCCGCCAGTGCAGCTGTGTCGGCCGTGGCAAAAACCAAGTCGTCAACTAGACTAGGACGAAGAAAGGTGTACGACCACGACGAACAAACAGCGACGGGTCGGCGGAAGACGGCTCAAACCCGAGGTCGGAGAGAGTAGAGCGGAGAGTGTCGTGCCACTCACGGGGTGCCTGGCGGAGACCGTAGACCGGTCGTCTGAGGCTCCACTGGGTCCCAGGCGGGAAAGTGCCAGTGAAGCCCGGAGGACGACGTAGCCAGATCTCCTCGTGTAAGCAGCCCTGGAGGAAGGCAGTGGAGAAGTCAAGAGAGTGTAGCTCGTAGTCTCTCTGCGCTGCTACGTGCAGTAACACCCGAAGAGTGGTCATCTTCGGGGTGGACGTGAAGGTCTGAAAGAAGTCAACCCCCTCGCGCTGACTGAACCCTCTAGCCACGTAGCGTGCCTTGAAGACTGGGGGAGATCCCGGCGGCCGCTTCACCTTGAAGATCCACATGCCGTCAACAATGTTCGCCCCTGGGGGGGGAACCTCGTCAACGTAAGTGCCTGTGGACCTGTAGGAGGCCATCTCTGCGTCCATGGCAGCTCTCCACTGAGAGGCCCAAGGCCCTGACACTGCCTCAGCGTAAGTGCGAGGAGTAGGTATGTCAGGAGCGTCGGGGTCTCCCTCAGGAGTGAGCAGCATGGCACAGACATGAGGCGCGCTAGCGGGCGCGCTGGCGTGCGTGCTGGCGGGCGCGCTGGCGAGCTCGCTGGCGGGCGCGCTGGCAGGCGAGCCGGCGGGCTCGCTGGTGCGCCCGCTGGCGGGCGCGCTGGCGGGCTGGCGTGCAAGCGGGCTGGCGCGCAGGCTGGCTGGCGCGCTGGCTGGCTGGCGCGCTGGCGGGCTGGCGCGCTGGCTGGCTGGCACGCTGGCTGGCTGGCTGGCGCGCAGGCTGCTGGCGCGCTGGCTGGCTGGCGCGCTGGCTGGCTGGCTGGCGCGCTGGCGGGCTGGCGCGCTGGCTGGCTGGCGCGCTAGCTGCTGGCGCGCTGGCTGGCTGGCGCGCTGGCTGGCTGGCTGGCGCGCAGGCTGCTGGCGCGCTGGCTGGCTGGCGCGCTGACTGGCTGGCGGGCGCGCTGGCTAAGGGCGGGGAGGGGAGGGGCGCGCCGGCTGGGGCGTGGGGTAGGGCGTTGGCGGGCTGGCAGGGCGCAGTGGTAACCCTAGTGGTAGGGAAGGGCGGGCCTAGGACTAGGAGCGCTAACCTACTGCTGATACCATGTTAGAATGAGAACTACAGCGGAATGCGTTGTATTGACAGAATTGGGGTACATAACCTAACCCTAACTAGTTGTACCCCATATAGCCCAACCCACTACAGGCTATAATATTTGACAGTTATAACTACTTTACTGTTGCTGTTGCGGTTCGATACAGTGACGACTCAGGCAAATGCTCTGTAACGAGTCAGTTGTGTGTCCTTGCTGTCGCGCTGTATTTGTCAGGTCAAAAGTCGCTGACCTTTAACTTTCGCGTAATTTCCAGCGGTTACTTCAACCTCCGAGGGTTGACTTGCTAGTGCCTCGATATGCTTTTCTTCGCTTGTGCCTTAGTGTTTCGACACGACAGAGGCGCTTAGGAATGACTGTTTCCAACACTCCTCTTCGCTTCTGGAGTGTCGCTGACGTGGCTCTGTCCAGCCAGTAGCATGCAGTATTCAAACTTCTGCTTTCCGAGCTTCTTGGTCAGGTAGTCAGCTGCCATCTCGGACGTGGGGCAGTATGACAGCTCAAGCCTTCCTTTCTCGATCTCGTCCTTCACGAAGAAATATCGTAGGGCGATGTGTTTTGTCTTGTTCGCGAAGCCGTTCTTGTTGGCGATGCGAATTGCCGACTGGTTGTCGCAGAACAGGGTAAAGTTGTGTAACTCGGCTAACTTCGCTTCTTCCAGCAGCTCGCGAAGATAGAGTCCTTCCTTGGTGGTTGAGCAGAGTGCAATATATTCTGCTTCAGCTGACGAGAGAGCAATTAGTTCTTGCTCGCTCGATTGCCAGGAGATAGGTCCGATAGGTTCGAGGCGGTAGATGTAGCCGGTGCGCGATCGTGTGTTGTTGGAGTCGCCCGCGTGATCTGCGTCGACGAAACTGATTAGCTTAGGCGTTGTAGTTGCGTTCTTATGGTAAGTCAGTCCGACCGTCAGGGTACTGACAAGGTAGTGAAGAGGGCGGTCGAGCTCCGACAAATGTTCCGCTTCAGGCTTCTTGAGGTAGGTGGCAAGCTGGCTTGCAGATTAGGATAGATCTGGGCGGCAGGTGACAGCTGCGAAGAGAAGGCAGCCCAGCTTTCTCTGGTAGTCGCGTATGCCGGCGGGCTTGAGTAGAGTGGAGCCTTCCTTGTTGCTTGCTGTCGTGTAGTGGTACGGTGTGGAGATAGCAGTCGGTGTGAGTGCGAAACGCTTGGCGATGGTGTCGGCGTATTTCGCGGCGCTGAGGTAGATAGCGTCTTCTTCTTCCCGGATGTTGAGGCCGAGGTACTGTGTGACGGTAGATGAGACCGTGAGTGTGAGGTCTTGCTGTAGCTCCCCTTCGAACCAGGTTGTAACGCCGTCAGTTGAGTCGATGTAGAGCTGATCGTCTACATAGACGATTAGCATTATGTAGTCGGTACCCTTCGTGAGCCGGTACATGCCCTGGTTGTGCGGCAATAGCTTGAAGCCGATGCGAATGAGGCAAGCGTGTAGGTATTGTTGC